ACTGTTACGCTGCGACGCGCCTGGCGCACATACAGCTAGGCCTGCGGCGCTGACACCCGAGACGGGGTAATAGGAGTGTATATACAATTTTTCGATATAAAGTCTTTTTAACGATTTAATCGACCATTTAATCATTTTCACCTCTTTTTTGTCAAGAAATGCCCCCTAGCATCTAAACGGTACAAGATAGAGCAAAACGGACGAAATTTAAGCCCGTAGGGTTCTACTTTCACGAGTTACCCCTTAGGAGTCCATAGGAAAAATATTTGAAAAGAATAAATATTTTGCGACCTGTGGTTTGTGATTTTTTAAAAAGTCAATTTTTGAGCTAGAGTGCTCATCTTCGAACTCGATCTGTCTTTTTATGATGCAAAACGACCCTGAAAATCCCAGGTCGCTCGCTCAATTCTTTCTCGAGTTATCGTGCGGACAGACAGACAAACAGACAAACAAACAGACAAACAAACAGAATGAAACTTTTCCGGTCAGTGGAGTAATGGGCTTCGCTAATCGCTCAGCCAATAACAAATAACAGAAAAAATAAATAATTAATTAAGAAATATGATACAATATATACAGTTAATCAAATTTTTGGGTGGTGCGCCACACGTGCTGTGTTACATGTCTAGTTGAAACAATCGGTGTTTAGGTGTACGGTGTGTGAATTTGTAAGGTGTGGTGTCGGGCTTGACTTCCCCCAGGGCGAGGATGTGTACGTTGGTGCTATTTTGGTTTTTAGTGAAGAAGTTGGTGGTGAGTTTTTGAATGAAATCTCCTATTAGTGGTATCTGGTGTGAAGTGTGCGTCCGTCTCATATTGGTCAGTCGAGGTAGTTTGAGGGCCAGTCGCAGGTATTTGTTTTGTATTATTTGTAGTTTCTGTAGGTGGGAGTCAGCCGCAATGCCGGCCCAGGCAGGGGCGGCATACGTCAGGATGGATCGCACGTAGGCCAGAGCGATCATTACCTTGACGTCCTGCGTGATGGGGCTGCTCCGCCTGATGAGAGGGTAGATGACGGACATAGCACCCGCAGCCTTCCTCTGTACGGTCTGCACGTGGGCCCCGAAGGTCATGCGGCGGTCCAGGATGACCCCCAGGAAGCGCGCACTGGTCCGCCACGGGATGGGGAGGGCCTCCACGCGAAGCAGATGGTCATCCACGTTCTGTGGGCGACGTTTGGTAAAGAAAACTGCTTCAGTCTTCTGGGCATTTATTTTTAGGCGCCACCGTTTGAAGTACTGAAGCAGCTCATCCAGGGCATGCTGCAGCCTTTGGACTAGCGTCTCCACGTCCTTGTCGCGGTAGAAGGCCGCCGTGTCGTCCGCGTACTGGGCGATCCGGACACCCGGCCTGGGTATGTCATTGACATAGATGATGTACAGCACCGGGCCCAGTATGCTGCCTTGGGGGGTGCCTTTGGCAACAGGGCGGAGGGGGGATACGGCGTCCTCCAGCGTGACGTGGAAGCTGCGCTCTGTCAGGTAGGCCCGCAGGAGGCGGATGAGACGGGCAGGGAACTTCATGACCGCCATCTTGTAGAGGAGGCCCTCGGTCCACACCGTGTCGAAGGCGGCGGAGGCGTCCAGGAACACAGCCGCGGTGTGCATCCCCTGGTTGAACCCGTCCGTGATGTAGTCCGCGAGACGGGTCACTTGATGCGTTGTGGAGCACCCCCTCCTGAAGCCCATTTGCTGGGGATTCAGCAGGTCCTCCTTGTCCAGGTGTGTGAGGATTCGCGTGTTTATAATGGACTCCAGCACCTTGCTCTTGGCGCTGAGCAGCGATATCGGTCGGTAGTTTTGAGGTAGGGTGTCATCCTTACCCGGCTTAGGGAGGGGCAACACGTTTGCGTGCTTCCAGGCACGGGGAAAGTAGGCAAGGGTGAGGCAGGCGTTGAAGAGCACCGTCATGAAGGCAATTGCTTTTCGTGGCAGGTGTTTAAGTACGATGTTCTGTATGGCGTCCGTACCCGGGGCCTTGCGGGGCTGTCTTGATTTTATTATGTCTCGGATTTCTTGAGGTGTGGTTGGTTTCAGTGGAATGTCCGGTGTGTCGCGTAGGTAATTTTGGAGGTCGGTCGTGACTTGGTCAGTGTCCGTTTTGTCCCCCATGTGGTCGTTTTGTGTGTGAGCGTTCTGGAAGTGGGTGCTGATTGCCGCCGCTTTGGCCTGTGCTGAGTAGGCGGGGCCGGCGGGGGTGGTCAGGGGGGGCGTGAAGTGGGCCGAGCGTTTCATCGACTTCGCGAGCTTCCAGACGTCGGTGTGATTAGACGCCTTGCTGAGCCGCTCAGTCCACTTGCTGCTCAGCCAGTCGGTGAGCTTCTTCTGAAAGATGCGTTTGGCGAGATTGTATGCGGTGCGGTCGTCTGGTGAGCGGTTTCGTAGCCAGCGCCTTTTGGCCGAGTTCTTCGTTCTCTTCAGTGTTACTAGGTGGGGGGGGAGCTCTTCGGGTGACCGGGTGACGGAGGTGAACGGGATGGATTTGGCTATTGCGCTTTGGATAGACGTGGTGAGGTGATGCACGCCGTCGTCTATCTCCTCCGTCGTGTTGAAGCGGCGGATGACTAATGCCTCGTGCACCTCTCGCCCGAAGCGCGCCCAATCAGCTTTGTTGTAGTTGAGGCGCGGCCGGGGCAGCGCGTGGCGCGGGGGCACGTGGACGGTGAAGAGGACCGGGTTGTGGTCGGACCCGACGCAGGGGAGAGTCTCCGCGGTCACCAGGTGCGGCACTCTGGACGCCAGCGCTATGTCCAGCGTAGTCGTGTTGCCCGTGCGCGGGTCCGTGCGGGTGGGCTCGCCCGGCGCCACGAGGCTGTACTCGCGGTCCAGGTAGTGGGCGTGCAGGGTAGAGCCAGCAGGGTTTAAATGTCTGCCCTGCGAGGCCTCGCTCTGCCACGCGCCGTGCTTGGCGTTCAGGTCGCCTGCGACTATGGTGCGCGGGCCCGTCCTCAGGAGGGCGTCCATCTCGTCGACGTCTATCCCGGCGTGATTGGAGTTGTAGGCATTGACAACGGTCACCCGCACCGTCTCCGTGACCACCTCCACTGCCTGAGCATGGATTGAACGCGTGGGTGGAGTGGCCAGCTGGATGTGTTGTAGGGTTTCCTTTACAAACACAGACAGCCCGCGCGTGTCGTCGTCCTTGTGGCGGCGGTAGTGCCGGTAACCCGGTATCGACGCCCTGCGCTTCTGGGTGAGGAGCGTTTCTTGGACCAGGGCGACGTCGGCTTGGTGCTTGGCTAGTATGTCGGCGAGGAGGGGCAGGCGGGAGCGGCCGTACGCTGCCAGCCCGTTAGCATTCAGCGACACAATCTTGAGGCCTTCCATTAGGCGGCGATATACGCGGTGAAGGTGGCGACGGCGCGCAGCCTGTCCTTTGGTGATGCGGCGGTGGCCTCTGCGATGAAGCGCCAGCACGCTGCGGTGAGCTCCTCAAGGGGGATGTCCTTGATCTCGAACTTGACTTCGCTTATAGTGCGGAGCAGGCTTGCGACCCCTCTGTTGGTGGGCTGTGGGGCCGGGGAAGGCCCACTTGCACTGGGGTGGGGTTGCCGCGGGGGGCGGA